ACAGTGTAATTTTTATAAAGAAGTAAAAAATAAGAATAGCGTGCGGATTACATTAAAAACGAGATTCTTATTTCTCACTTTGCTTAATATTTTAGTTTGTGCATAAACTAGTTTTACAATGAACCGAGAAAACAATGCATTTACTATTTCAGAACGTGTCGATATGGTGTTAGTGTATGGTGCAGCTGGAGAAAATGCGCTCGCGGCGACTAGGTTGTACCGGGAGCGATGCCCACAACGTCACCCCTCCCCATGTGCAAATACAATCCTACAGTGCGTTCAGCGGCTGCGAGATACGGGAAGTGTTATTCCTCGAGGAGAAGGATGTGAACCTTAATGTTGAAGATGCAGTGTTGGAAAATCTTGATGAAGACCCCACAATTAGTACTCGACGACTCGCACAACAAGTAGGAACCTCATCTCGTACCACAAATCGCATCTTAAGGCGCCAGATGTTGCATCTCTATCATCTGCAACCAATTCAACAGATTTTACCCCCGGGATTGTGATCAACGAATGCGTTTTTGCAGATGGTTTTTACGGCAATGTGCCAATCAAGTAGACTTTCCTGCTTATGTTCGTGTAACAGATGAGGCGACATTTACCCGTGATGAAGTGAATTTCCATATTATGCACATATGGGCCGACGAAAATCCTCAAGCGATTAGGGAAACTTATTTTCAACATCGGTTCTCGGTAAATGTTTGGGCTGGCATAATGGGCGATGTACTTGTGGGTCCCTATTTCTTTGAAGGGCGACTAAATGGTGTATGGTAAATATGCTGACTTTTTGGAGAATCGGTTGCCTGAATTATTGGACGATGTGGCATTACAAGTTCGGGCACGCATGTTTTATCTTCAAAATGGGGCTCCTCCACACAGTACTCGAGAAGTAACGACACTTTTGAATAAAATGTTTCCTCAGCGATGGATTGGACGCTTTGGTCCTATGCCGTGGCCACCTCAGTCACCAATTCTAACTCCAATGAACTTTTATCTTTGGAGTCACTTGAAGTCATTGGTTTACAATACTCCAATTGCTACGGTGGAAGATATGCGAAACCGTATACTTGAAGCTGCTGACACAATTAGGGGAATACCTGGAATTTGGGAAAATATTCGCCAAAATTGGATGCGTCGGTGCCATGCCTGTATCCGCGTTAATGGGGATAAATTTCAGCATTTTCTCTAGAAATGGTAAGTTTTATTTCATTTTGTTCCATATTTTAATGGAGTTTGTTTACTGCACGCAGTTGGCAACTACAAATGCTTACGGATGTGGTTTTGTTTACGAACTCTTGCAGTAACAACAATACATTTAAGATAGTAATTACTATTAATTATTATAATAAGAAAATATAAGTTTTTTTAAATACCTATTTATTTTTCTTACTTTGTACTTTTGTATTGAAAAATTCCCTAAAAATTGAGAAGTATCTTTCTATCTTTCAACGACGATTTGTTTACAGCACGTAACTAATCGTACAGTACACGGACAGGACCGTTCTGGAGAAAATATTTTGATCCATAATTGAACTTTAATTTACGAGAAAAAAACGCAAAAATAACTTTTTCGTATAAGACTTTTCTATTACAAATACCGTTAATAAGCTGTATTTTAATTTTTATAGATTATACACGCAACACCCTGTATACCCTTCCAAATCATAAAGTGCCATGAAATGTCTACTAATAATTCTTTCAAGTTTTCAGGTTCTATGATCTAATTCGACTGGAGTATTAGTGTAATTTTCACGACATTTTATTTATCCAAGCGACGATCCCTTTAGAGATTTTTAGTTGGCAGTACCAAAGTGTAATGTTGGTTGCCTAAGCTTATTGGCCACGTGGTTTGTAATCATTTATGAAGACTCTATATTTAAATTTAAAAACATCCACTGGACGGCATAAAAGATTTAAAAAAATGCGAGCTGAGGTATGTCAGATTTGCCTCGGACAGATTGGAAATGTTGAAAATGAATTTATTCGCCATTTAAACAGCAGGTGGTGCTCAATATGAACATTTATCGTTTTTGTTACACACTCAACATTTCTGACATAAATCACAAAGTTTAAAATGTATGGTAAATTCGCGTATTTCTGCAGAAATACAAAATTATAACGTGAAATTTAAACCGATAACTGACTGATGTGTCGGTTTTATAAAGTAGTAAATCTGTTTCCATTAAAAATGAAAATTAACAAGGCGCCGCAGCCTGACAGCATTATGTCATCATAAAATACACTCTGATCTCATTAATAAATGAGGCCAAATTATAAGTCTCCCAAGTAAAGTGATAGGAGTTATTTGACGGAATAAATTTAATTTAATAATTACTTCATGTCTGTGGAAAGTTATTTATATCCTATTTATTCTCTCTCTTTAGAAATATTAGAGAGAAATTATGTATTTGGAAAACTGTTCTAAAAAATGGTTAAGTGTAGTACCTAAGTAGTTTAGAAAGTTATAAGTTTGTTGTTGTATGTATGTAAAGCATTGTAGAAATACAATGTAAAAGAAGATTTTTTATATGAAATCAACTACGCTAGTAGTGTCTATATTATCATAAAAATAAGGAAAATATGTAATAAAAGGTGTTTTCGGAAAAGGTAATTTAAATATACGGGATAATGCATCAAAAAATATCTGTTTCTTTACTGTAAAAAAAATTACTCAATTTTACTGAATAATGTATTAATTTCTGTCCACACCTGATTGAGTGAAATATTCACTCTCTGAGTATGAGTGCAACTAACATTTTATGAGTGAAACTATTGCAACAGAAGTGACTGAATTTTACTCAAATCCGAGCTTCTGCTAACTATCAAGTGAGTGACTTTTGACTCAATTCTGAGTAAAACCAATTAGGTAAGAGTTGCTTTTTTTATCTAAATTTAACTATTATTGAGTAATTTTTTACTCAGAATTGGTTTATATTTTTTTTATATATCACGCCACGAGATGACCTAATAGGGACCATGAGAATAGACAAAGACAACGTACGACAACCATAGAATGGGATGGGGTCACTAAATAATGAGGACATTTACTCCGATTTGGGTACAAATGTACCAAATACGAGTTCATCTGGAGAATTATCAAAATGCTCAATATTGAGTGAAAATGTATGTACTCAATGATTTTTTTATAGTGTATGGATCATGGCCTGTTGTCTTTTGTTTTTGAGTTAGAGATTTTTTCCTTAGTCTTGGATAGGACCTCCCTTTGTTTTTTGGGCTAGGTTTTAAGGGGGCGGACCTGCTTTCAGAACCCCCCCCCCACCTCCCTCGACTGAATTGCTCTGAAGTTTTTGCAGAATCATCACTGAAGATACCGACAGTGAAGGAGGATGAAACGTATGGCAGCACACCTTTGTGAATATTCGCGTTTTTTTGATACATATCCCTCATTTTGTCTCTTGAGAAAGGCACGTAACTTTGAATATTTGCTTATATCAATTTCCTTCTTCATATGCAACATTGACCGCAACATTGAATATTGTGACCAAAGCGTTGACGGGTTCATTTTATTTGCTAAGTTTGAGAAATACATCAATACATCTTCTCAATACAATTTAGTTTTTCTCTTTGCACCAATCCATAAAACGTTGGTAGACACATTAATAAATTTCTCGAGATTTCTTTGAGAGAAAATTCAAAGAAAACTCTTTCGCACACTCCAGTATCTCCGCAGGTACACCTAAATCTTCATTAGATTCCATTTTTACAGAGTTTTCAGCAAATTGAACCACAAACAATCACAAATGAACTGATTTAGTAATATGGCGACAAAGTATCCATGACTACATCGATATATCCTACTTATCAACTTTGCTTTATTATCCAAATTTAGTTTGAATAATTTCAAAGCACAAATCAATATTTAAATGGGGTATTTCGGATGGAGAAAAAATAGCACTTTTAATCCTAATATAATAATATACTATTATTCTATTCATCTTTTAGAATGTGTAGCCAGCAAGATCAGCATCTAAGTTCATAGAATAATTTGACACACATCTTTCACCATTCAACAAAACAATCGCGGTTTCTTTTAATTTTCTTTTAACGATATTATTTCAAAGTTACTAAAACGAAAAGTCAAAAAGAGTTCAGAAGACGAAAACAGATAGATTTTCGAAAAGTTAACGACTTTTCTTTAAAGTGCGCGATATAAAGTGATGCGTTTATGAAATTTATATTTGTTTCCGTGTGAGCTTTTCTGGTTAGGCGAAACTATTTTCATAAAAATAACCCTTGACTTTTGGGACAAGGGTTGATTTCTCAAATTATTACATTTTTTCACAGGTGGCAAAACACTCAAAAATAAAGAAAAAAACTAAAACTATGTCACAAATAAATAACTTCAGACAATATAATGTTAATGTAAGCTTTAAAAAATAGTAACTTGAATATAGTCCCTTTTTCAAAAAAGATCGAAGGGATTCACTTTCTTAAAAATATCGCTAAGTGTTGCAAGCAAATTATTTTTATTATATTACTGTCTATTGAAATTTTAACTTTAATTTAACTTTAACTTTAATTTAGTTTAACTTTCACTTTAACTTTAACTTTAATTTAGTGTAAAAAACATTAACTTTAATTTAATGTAAAAAAAAACAATTGTTACATTTACCTCGTTTAAGTGATAGTTGAGCAAAACGTAATTTAATTTGTTCTGGTTTATTGTTTTCCTTATAAATAAAGAAAGACCAAAACTAAAAGGACATATACGGGTGCTTAGTCACTAATCAATTTTGTACCAATTTAATCTAAACTTCCCGTAATCAGAACGGAATTTGAATCACTCTACCAATGCATTCTGCATCCGATATCTACTTCAATTATTCTCATCGACTGATTAAAGTGCTTTCCAAGGTAAATGATTGAGTGTTCGAATGCAGATAAACAAGTGGACAATGCTCATTTAAACCGCTTTGGCGAAAGCCCCTGTTTAAAATGCAAATCAGCCTGCGACGCCCTGTGGAAACGGCACTTACCTTTGGGATAAAGGGCAAAGCCTCCTTTAGCGTGTTGCGATAAAAGTGCGCCTTTTGCGTAGGATCCTTCATATTTATCACGTCCAGGAACTGTAGAGCGTGTACCGCTGGATCACTGAAACAAATGATATACATAATAAGTTATGTGGTTAGATCGTTGTGAGGAATACCAGGGTCTTACAAAGGGTGTCCTAATATTCCATGTACATTCGACGCAAGATAAAGGTCTCCAATCTGAATCGTATTTTATTTGAAATAAGACGGGTTAACCGCTTGTCTATATGGGGCGTTCCCATTAAACTCGTGTGGCGATATTTTACCGTCACATCTGACATTTTACGAGTTTTGTTCCTGGTAGACTGGCATTTTTAGAAAGGGACTAATCGACAAACTCTTATAGCAGACCCCGTATGCATTTTTTATTATCTTGTTTATATTAAAAGAGTTGCATTTACATTACAATAGAAACATCGATTCATCCTAGTTAATAAATCTTGCAAAACGTCTACTACCTACTTACGAATAGTTAAATTCAATGGATTTAAGAAAATGAATCATTTATTAAAAATCAACTTGAACAGTAAACGACCTTGAAGGTCATGTTCAAGGTCTCATCCGAATGTAAAAATTTCCATTTTTTCCATTTCTGGGTTCCATTTAAAATTTTCGACTTGACCTATAAATGACCTTCAAGGTCATGGTGAAGGTCACCGTTGGATTGCTCACTCAAAACCCTGCAACTTTTGTCCTAATAATTTTTTTGTTTCAGCAGTATTTTCTGGGAGGGGTTCCGAACTTTTTGAACACCCTGTATAATATATTTTTGCATTTTAAGGTTGCTTTTCAGAAAGTCTCCTTTTAAATATAATATTTGCATGAATTTAATGTTGGCTTTTCCCAAGGTGATGTTTCAAATGTATAATTTGTCGACTTCTTTTCTTTTTCTAATTTTAATCAACACTCATTTTTGCATTGAAAAATTCGGGAAGACTGGATCAATTAGTGATCTTAAACACTCTGGCCGTCTTCCAACAAGTCGTTCAACACAAAACATCGAACCAGTTCGTGACAGTATTGCCGAAAGTCCAGGAACATCAATTCGGCACTGTGGTCGAGAATTGGACATTTCGAGAAGCTCTTTACAGCATATTCTTATTGTTTTAATAATAATTTTCAATTTTACAAAAATTTTTAGTGTTTGCGATAACGGTAGAGATAGTTGCCCAATTCGATACTCTAATACTAAATTTAATTACTTTGGTGTTAGTAATTAGTAATTTTAAAAAAATTATTTAATCGACACAAAGAGTTCTTTTAATTAATTCACAGCCCCACAAAAAAAAGTATCGGATCTGGTATTCAGACCCGTATATTTCCATGTATTTTTTTCCGCTGAATTCGAATCTGCTTTCAGATTTGGCCCAACGGGTCTGAGTTTTCGGGAAAATTAAAAAAAAAACAGGTCAAAATTCACAAAAAACGTCATTTACGATCGACGAAAGTTATAAAAAATCAAATTATTCTACCAGCTCACTAGACGCATGATTTTTCACTCGTTTATTTCCAATTTATCATCGTAGAGTCAGACAAGCTGGTCCAATTTCATTCAAAAACAGAAAATAGATCAAAATGCTTAAAAACGCCATTTTCATGACATAATTCGTGTTGCAGAGTTCTGGATACATCTTTTTATCTACCCATCCATTTATGAATTCATACATCTTTCTATCCAGTCGTTCATGCATGAGTACGCATATTTATTCATCCACTTGTAACGCCTGTAAAACCCACCCATCCACCCATCTATCCATCTACTTTTTATACTGAGAGATGAGATAACAGCCTAGAAAATTGAGAATGCAATATAACTCGTAGAAAACTCTACTTTCTAAACAAAAGAAAACGATATATATAAATCATTCTTATTTTTGTTGCTATAACGTGTTCTCTTTTCTTCAAAGGATCTATGCAAAGGGATACGCGTTCGTTTAGTCCCTCTATTTTTCGTTTCTCCTTTTAACAACCAACAAAAATCGGCCATCATGTTGTGATCCCATCTTCCTTGATATCGCTCTTCTATAACCTTCATATCCTGATGAAATCGTTCGCCTTGTTCTTCGCTATAATCTCCAAGATTTTCAGGAAACCAATCCAGATGTGAATGAAGGAAGTGCAACTTGTAGTCCATCAAACATCCCAGGTCTTGAAAGTCTTTTATCATTTTTGATACAATTTCTCCGTATTTAGGACTCTTGTTGTTTCCTAAAAAATTTGTCGCTACAACTTTGAAACTAGAAACAACGCTACCCATTCTAGTTATGAACAATGTCCTAATCTGAGGTCCATCGAATACACCTTATTTCAATTTCGCCTCAGAAATATTCTGAAATTTTCGCCCTTTATATACAAGGTGTTGCATCACGAGAGGGACATGGCTTAATGGGAGATAGAGGCCATCTAGGGTAATTAGGATCGCCTATAGAAATAGCTCCCTGGCCATTCTTTATTGAGATACAGGGTGATTTATGATTTTTGGTCAAAACTGCTTTATGTCATAAATTTGGTAGGGAATGGAATAATGGGTTCATATTTGGTAGGGTTAATGCACTCACGATACTTCATGTATGCATGTATAACAGCAAAAAAATCCAAGTCCGGACTGCAAAAATTGTTAATTTTTTGTGCAAGTCTAGAAAACAACACTCTGTATGTCTTTTTTTTTTGAAATTCCGATACGATATTCGGAAAGAGCATATAAAAGTGATCTTAAAGACGTATTTTTTTTTTGTTACACTTTGATGATTATTTAAATACGCATGATAAAAACACATGACAAAAAATAAATTATAATCCGTAGATTTCGATTGCCATTCATGTAGATCTACCCAAACATTTACAGTAAATCTGTACTGTGAATTACATAAGCGTTTGCAGATGGGTATTGCTGTGCCCATTTATAGTCGTTTTTTGAGTTATTTATTTATCCGTAATCAACGTGAAAAAGAAATGAGTGAATGTGGTATGAATAATACTGTTTCCTTTTCAATGTTTTCCATACATTCCATTGAGAAATATTAATAGTCGAACTTATGTTAGACCTTGCATTTTGTTGAATTGGATCTAAAATATTATTCTCTTTTTGAACATCTTGATGTATATTAATTATAGTAGGCCTACTCAATGTGACAAATAATTAAATAGTGAATTGTTTGACAACAAACTGTCTACTGGTGTTATTGTGTATTCATTAACTTGCATTTAATACTTTAAATTTTGTAATTTAAACATGCCGCAATTATTTTCAAGCGAAGAATATGCTGACATAGTATTCATCTATGGGTTTTACAATGGGAATAGTAGGGCAGCACAAAGGAAATATCAACAACGTTTTCCTGATCGTCGGCATCCTAATTATAAAACTTTTAGTAAAGTCTTCCAGTACTCAAAACAACACGGGAGGTTTCCAACATCAAAAAATTTGGAGCGTCATCAAGATGCTCAAGAACAGAACAATATTTTTAATTTAATTCAACAAAATCCATTCTGCCATTAACATTCCTCATTGGAACATATGGAGAACATTGAAAAAGGGACGTTATTATCCATACGACATCCAGCAGGTACAGCGTCTTGAACCAGGTGATAACATGCACCGGTTGGCTTTCTCGCGTTGGTTATCTAACCACCATCAGGTCATTTACAGAACCTTATTTACAGACAAAGCGCAATTTACAATAGATGGAATAAATAAGTCAAGGAACGACCATGAATGGGCACAACAAAACCCACATGCAAAACGCCAATGTCATTCACAACACAGGTTTTCTGTAAACGTTTGGATCGGGCTTGTAAATGGGCATTTAATAGGGCCATATTTTTTTGAAGAGAGATTAGGTGGTAATGTTTATTTAAACTTTCTTCAAACAATCCTACCCAATCTCTTAGAAAATGTCCATATTAGAGGTATGCTCTTTCAACACGATGGAGCTCCACCGCATTTTAGCAATCAGGTCAGAGAGCACTTGGATTATGAATATCCAAACAGATGGATTGGTCGTGGCGGTCCATACGAATGGCCAGCGAGGTCTCCGGATTGTAATCCTTGCGACTATTTTTTATCGGGTCACTTGAAAGCAGAAGTTTATAAGGTCGAAATCAATAATAGGGAACAATTGATCGAACGTATCATTACAGCTTGCGATGAAATACGAAATAATCCGGTAATGATACGTCGAGCAATTGGAAACTTGGGTAAACGAGTAAGAAAATGTATCGAAGTTGATGGAGGCCACTTTGAAAATATGCTATAAAATTAATATGCCATTGTAAAGTACATTTAGACACCTATTATTTTCTTTGTGTTTTATTGTTAGGTATTTGTTTTCCGTGTTTTATTAAATAGTCTTTGTTACTATTTGCTTTTTTTATTTCTATTTTTTAGAAATCCTATTTACTAAAAGAAATAAACTACTATTTTTATCATGTATCTTTTACTTACTCATGTCATGTGTTTCTTACTCGTATATTTAAGTAATCATCAAAGTGTAACAAGAAAAAGAAACATGTCGCTGAGATTACATTACTTTTTTATGTTCTTTTCGATAATCGTATGGGAATACTAAAAAAATACATACGGGGCGATGTTTTCTAGAGTTAAAAAAAAAAATTAAAAATTTTGCAGTCCGGACCTGGAATACATATTATTTAAAGAAAATGAGGTTTAAAATATGCATGCTTATTTATAACATCTACCCTCAATTAAGCCTTCGCTAATTTTAGTTGCAAAACCATTTTTATCATGTGTCCTTCACATAATTTAGTTTTAGAAGCCGTAGTCTCGTATATTCAATAGCTTATTTAAATAACCACCAAAGTGTAAAAAAAAAGAAACATGTCTTTAAAATCACTTTTTTATGCTCTTTCCGAATATCGTATGGGAATTTCAAAAAAATACATACAGAGTGTTGTTTTCTAGACTTGCACAAAAAATTAACAATTTTTGCAGTCCGGACCTGGATTTTTTTGCTGTTATACATGCATACATGAAGTATCGTGAGTGCATTAACCCTACCAAATATGAACCCATTATTCCATTACCTACCAAAGTTATGACAT